CACAATCTAACTGACACTCTCTAAACAGCCAGATAATATATTTCTCGTTTAAACAATTATATACAGCTTCTTTACAATCTAACTAACAATCCTCTCACAACAGCCAGATAATATATTTCTAGTTTAAACGTTTATATACAGCTTCTTCACAATCTAACTAACACTCTCACAACAGCCAGATAATATTCTCCCCATCTAAACGTTTATATACAGCTTCTACACAATCTAACTAACACTTTCACAACAGCCAGATAATATTCTCCCCATCTAAACGTTTATATACAGCTTCTACACAATCTAACTAACACTCTCACAACAGCCAGATAATATTCTCCCCATCTAAACGTTTATATACAGCTTCTACACAATCTAACTAACACTCTCACAACAGCCAGATAATATTCTCCCCATCTAAACGTTTATATACAGCTTCTACACAATCTAACTGACACTCTCACAACAGTCACATAATATTCTCCCCATCTAAACGTGTATATACAGCTTCTTCACAATCTAACTAACACTCTCACAACTCCCAGACAATATACTCCTCACCTAAACGTTTATATACAGCTTCTTCACAATCTCACTAACACTCTCACAACTCCCAGACAATATATATCCTTCAAAGAAAACATTGTTCTGTCGCTTCTTCATTCATCTAGTGCAGCAATCTTGTTGAGTGTCATATTAACAAAGTGTTTTTGTCGTCCTGTCAAATAGCATCGGCTCCTTATCACAATGGGATCTCATCATGAAGAATGCCTTAATTTGTACAATTATTCGTCAAGCTAAGGTTTGTCAATTGTTGCTACGGATGTTTGGAACTATAGTAAATCTGTGCTTAGAATTGAGATATTTCCGTCGTGATGTATTGTTTTGTTGTCGATAACCATACGAAATATCGAACCCCTGACGCTTGGGGAAGCCCGTATAACCACGTTCAACACAATGGATCAGTTGGTAGGTACATTAAGCTCGTCACTTCTTCCGATTTCCCTTGCCGCAAAGAATGACAAGATTAATCTAATGTATATACACAAAACGCAGCTTATCGACCAACCGAAGAATGTGTTGTTGATGCAAGGAACACGGTACCTGTGCTCGAGAAATGGTAGAATCAACTCGTCCTTCAAGGTTGCATAATTACGTACAGCTGCATCACTTTTACAGGATTAAAGTGAATATGTGTATATGAAGATATTAAGAATGTGCATGATTACTTTTTATATCTAATTGTATTTTAATATTTGTAATATCTTAAGGTGTCATTTTGGCCCTCTGAGGCCTGGTGTTTGTATTTTAAGTATGTGCTAAATATTGTATTACTTTGTGTCACATGACACTGTAATAAACTATATTATTATATTATTATTATATTAAAAGCTCATTCAACAACAACAACAACATAACAACAAACGTTCATTTCGCTTCAAGGTCATAGCTATGACATATTGAAGGTACAAATGGAGATTTATGGTGACACGAGGCATGAGACAGACGTGCGTCAACTATACGTTTAACCGCAACAGACTCACACATTTAATTAACAACTTGAGGATTTCTTTTACAAACTGTGCTAGTTTTCTTTGTTATAATAAACTTTCAGTATTTAGAAACATATCAAGTAGTATCCCACAAGGTCTTGAAACTACTTCTTTTGAATATTCAGAATGGCCAGTGAATTCGTGGTTCATTTTCGACTGCAAGGACAATAGCGTGACGCCATCACGATGGGTTAATAGCCTAAAATATTACATTTGAAAGGTTATTTCTACAACATATCCCGTCAATATTTCTGACGGAGGCACATGTATATATAAGTATTAGATAGCTACGAGATAAAATCGAAAAGAACGAATCGTTGTTTATTTCATGATAAACCATTGTTTCTATCATGATGTCATTTCTGGAGTTTCAAATATGCTCTCGCAACTTGATGACGTCATATATTGGACGACGTTATATTTTACAGTGAAGTGTCTGGTAAGTTGTTCCCCATAGATGTAGCTGGGCTAAGCAGATAGACGCAGTGGCCGAGAGATCGCATCCAAAAGTGGGAGAGATATGACAATAATTTATTGGCATCAGGAGATGAGGTTCAGATGATCGACGCGAGAAAAGGCGGGAAATACTATACCATTCGTCACCACGAAATATTTAACATATATAGATTGACAATGTATTGACAAGATTTCATTTTTGGTTTTCAAATCTTATTAATATAGGCAAAAATTGTCTCTTGATAAAGGCTTAAGAATCGGTCCATTTTCGTTTCCTTATAAATATACTGAACCGCAAAAGAAACGTCACCCCAAGTAACATTGCATGAAAAGTTGTCATTTAAATATCTGGGTAATTTTTACAAAGTTTCTAAAATTTCACATTACCTTGTTCGGAAAAATGAAATTTAATGATACAAAAACAAAGCAGATGACAATAAAACCGATCGCCCAAACGCATCACGGCAACGGCCATGGTAACCCGAATCACGTGAGTTCCTGCAACTTGAAATGCACATGCGTTCCCACATTTCTTGCCTTTAAAAATCCACCCAGATCGGATAACATTCATTCGTTATTCGCTACCACATGCCAAGATTGGCAAGAAATCAGCGACACCAAGCCCTTGGACGATTGCAAGCTGGACAAACCGCCCGGCAAGTACCCAATGCATTTCAATTCCACGTAAAAGCCATATATAGGCTCCAGCAACGGTACCAGACCACCAACACAACAGATGACTAACCAGTAGTTGAAGACCAAGGGTCACCACCCGACGTCAGGATCGTCAGATTGTGTGACAGCATCTTCAAGGTCGCTTTGTTACTGCTGCGGAAACTGTTCGACAGACCATGGGGACACACCAGCGACACATGAGTGCCGACACCCTGCGTCGACGATTGACGAGCAGACACCTCTACTGTCACAAACCACACCGAGGACCCATTCTGACACCAAGTCATCGCCGGGACCGTCTTCAGTGGGCAACACAGCACCAGCATTGGCGCCACCAGCAGTGGAGAAGAATCCTCTTCTCAGACAAGAGCCGTTACCATATCTCAACAGCAGATGGCAGAGAGAGAGAGAGAGTCTGGCCGTGGAGAACGTTATTCGGATGCTTGTGTTGTTGAGAGAGACTCGTGAGGTGGTGATGGGGTGGAATTGGTCTTGCACAGAGGGTCGGCCCTGTGTTCTTCCATAACATCGGTCCAGGGAGAGGGAATGATGTCACAGCAGCTCGGTACATTGATCAAGTCTTGAGACCACACATCAGATCTCATTTGGCACGTCGCCGCAACGCCCGTGTCCACACTGCGAGAGCAACAAGAGACTTCCTCCAGCAGAATGGCATGAGAACCGTGCAGTGGCCTGGCCTCAGTCCCGATTTCAATCCCATTGAGCACCTGTGCGACGAGATTCAAAGACGGCTGATTGACGTCCGACCAAGACCGACAACTGCAGCTGAACTGCGTCAGGCGTTCCTCAGAGTGTGGGCTCAAGTGCCTCTGGCTCTCATCAACCGCCTCATCCATTCCATGAATCGACGTTGCACGGCAGTCATCAGTGCACATGGCGGACACACGAGATACTGACTCGTGTTGCCATTTTCTCAGAGACTAGTGTTGTGTTTTACTTTAAGAACATTTGACACTTTAATTTCAACCTTGGTGATCAGTTTTGCCAAGTTTCATCTTTTTAATATGTCTCAAAGTATGTTTACAGTGTTTGGACAAATAAGGTTTTTCATATATCTATCCATGGCGATGTTTCTGTTGCTGTTCAGTATATTATGCATACAATATAGAATGCCGAGACAAGGGTTTATACAAGCACATTTGTAGGTTAATGTTAACAGAAACTGTTTTGTGACACTGTTGACATGTAATTGTGTACAAACTCAACTAAACCATGTGAGTGAGTGAGTGAGTGAGTGATGCCGCTTTTAGCAATATTCCAGCAATATAACGGCGGGGGACACAAGAAATGGGCTTCACACATTGTACCCATGTCGGGAATCGAACCCGGTACTTCGGCGTGACGAGCGAACGCTTTAACCACTCGGCTACCCCACCGCCCCACTTAACCTTGCACATACATCTTGGTATGCCGCTTAGGAATAGGAAATCTTACAATATATACGTTGAAAAACCTTCATCATCTTTCATGGGCTGGAGACCTTTCTTTTAACAAAAGCGTTTTGAATTGATAAATATAATTACTGAATAAAGCTTAAACTGTTAGAACCTGCACTAAGGAAAATGGTTCCCGGTCGCGGTCTGACTTTGTGTGGTGTTATGATCGTCATTAAAGATTACTGTTGTGTTTCCATACAACTAGTTCCACGGGGTTGGATTACATGGGTAACTGGGAAATAATAAATAATACTGTTATACAATGCAGCCATATCTCAATCTGTTCATGTATGACAAATACTACCATCTGGTCACGAGTGGTACATCATGACTAGCAGTTCATACGAGTCACAAAGTCCACACATATGCATAAGTGATGAGAAAAGACAATTCTAAATCCCGATTAGGTTATTAACATGTTGAACTTTTTTTCCACTCACAATTCAACTTTCACACATTGTGAGCGAGTGAGTGAGTCGGGTTTAACGCCGCTTTTAACAGTATTCCAGTTATATCACGGCGTGTCAGCTTAATGTAGGAGGAAAACCCGAAATGATGCAGGTCTCAGACGTTTACCACAAGCACGGGTATGGTGCTGACAAACCTAGAAACATAACCAAGGCGATACGGGATTCGAACCCACAATCATAGGTTTCTGGCGTGCCCAAGGGAAGCAACTCTGCACAGCGAATCGCGGCGCCTTAGACGACTGGGCCACCCGTGTCCACCTTGAAATCAGAAACATCGATAAATAAAAATGCATGTTTTGTCAAAAATGGAACAGCATTTGTACAGAACGGAATATTTTGTAACTGTCGATTTATCAATGAATTAACTGTGGAAGTGGTTCAGTAACCTATCTTACCGCACGCTAGGGCAGTGTTCTCAAGAAAGGTGTTCTCTGCCGCGCCTTCCACTATGGACAGAGTCCCCCCGCGGTCCTGACAGTCTGTCTTTGCAGGTTCCCACGCCATGCGATTGTTGGGGAATTCGTAGTATGTGCTTGTGTCTTCCTCGACGTCCATGAACTGCACCGGCCCTGATACATAAAGGTACGATTAGAGATAAGTATGTGTTTTACCATTTGGGAACATTTGTGAGTAGAAGGGGCTTTTGCATCTCAGGTCATAAAGACTTCAATATCAAGCTACAAACGTTGTTTTTTTGGAGATGATATAATTTTGTGTAAAAACAACAACTCAGCCTCAAAATGCTTGAAAAAAAATAACCCAGCCTCAATAGAAGTCTCGACCACAATATGGCCATCCTCATCAACACAGAGTATTTCGTGAGCAAAGCCATAATCTTTGACAGAGAGACATCACCATGAGAGACAGTATGCCTGTAACCTATATTTATTAATGATAATTTCAAGAGGCCTTAGCAGTTGTTGACAATGATGTGAAATGACTATTAAGCATCATATGCCCTGACTTTAAAAAACCCAAACAATATAAACATATATATGAATAAAAATAGTTTACTGCAATAACCTAAGCGGACGAGTAGAAGGAATGTTACAAATCAACTTTGTTTGTTTCTGAAATCAGAACAGGAAGATACTTGTATGCTCAAAAGACATAAATTAACAACATCATTACAAGCTACGCCATGAGAATCAAGTTGGCCTAAAATGTACCCTATTGCAGTTTGAGATGCATCAGTTGTGAGGAAGAAGAGTTCCTTTTGATCAGTGTATGCAAGGATGTGGGCTCTTGTAAGGGCTTGCTTTAGCTTTTCGATTGCCTGTTGACAATTGTTGGACCATTCGAAAGACGCGTTTTTTTCAGAAAGTTGCATAGAAGGTTGAATAGAAACTTTGCTACAAATTTGCGGTAATACGAGGCCAAACCTAAGAAATGACGCATGTCATGGACATTTTTAGGGGGTGGGGTCTATGTGACTTAATCTATTTTTGAAGGATCGACATGGATCTTTGCTGAAGATATGCCCAAAGTAGGTGAATTTATATTTGCTTGGTTTAAGAGTGGGTCCTGATTCTTTTAACTGTTGGAATACTGCCTTGAGGTGATTCAAATGTTCTGAAAACGTTTGAGAAAATATTGGGATGTCATCTACATATTTATATGTAGAGCCAAATTATTTCTTTTAGTGCCTGAAATGTTCTGCTAAAATGCGAAACTTTTTGAGGCCGAAAGGGAGGCGATTCAATTCAAAAATACCATGTAATGAATGGCCGACTTGTGTTTTGTATCTGGAAATATAGGTTTGGCAACTGCATAGAGGCGTCTATTATCCAGAGCTTTCACATTTTGTAACCATGGAAATGGGATAATGCCATTCAGAAGCACTGGGCTGAACACAAAGGATGACTAATGGGTCTGGCGTCAACTGTTTCTATTTTCTGATGATATAAGTGAGTATGTCCCAATCCTGACTAATCCGAGGCAAAAACTGATCTTTGTGATTGGAGGAATGCATTTTTACTGTATACTTGTATTTTCAATATTGTCACTTTTTTTAAAAACGCTTTTAAGGACAAAAGCTCCATGACATTCAGGGGTATTGTTATAGTGCAAACCACTTCAATCTGTTTCTTTAAAACTTCATTTATCAAAAATATTGTTTCAATATGTCTCCAAAGTGCACAGAAATTCTATCTCCTTTTTTATGTTTAATACATATATACAGCAAACATTCGGCGTATCCCCTCTCATCATAAGCCCCCTCCGGGCAGGACCCTTAATCCCCAGCGGTATCTATAAATGTCAATTATCACCTCCTTACGTCGCTGGATCCTAGGTCTTTTATTAAATAAAACTGCCTTATTATACTGCTATTTACATTGTTCTCATTAAAAATCACCTACATGTGTACAGTTATTATGTTTTAGTGACTTGTGAGAAATTTTCAACATTTTTCCCAGTGGCTGAATTTGAAATGTGCCGTAAAAAGATCTCAACTCTCTTTTCAGGAGAGAATAATATTCCCAGCCCCTATAAATGAAGAACAAAAACAGGAGTCTTGACACTGAAGGAACACTGAAAATCAGTAATGACACCAGGTGTTGGCGAAAAGACACGACACTATGAGCATCTCGCACACAAACAAAGTTTTTCGTGCTGCAGAACGCACCCCTACTATCTGCTGACGTGTGGTCATTACGTCACAGTCATTTGCAAAATCTGTTTCCTGGGCCCTTTCACCACCACATGTTCGCGTGAGTCTGAGTGAGTGAGTGAGTGAGTATGGTGTTACGTCGCTTTTAGCAATATTCTGGGACACCAGAAATGGGCTTTAGACATTGCACCAACGTGGGGAATAGAACCCGGGCCTGCGGCGATGCGAGCTAATGCTTTAACCACTGGGCTACCCCACTGCCCTCAAAATACACTATTCTTCCTGATGAAAACAAGCGGCGACACAGCAAGTACTGGCCAAAGTTGCATACTACCTCAAATACAACTTGCAAAGCCTAAGATTATAGGACTTCCCGTCTTAAACCGAAGCAAAACGTGTTTTTACTCTACACGATATTTGTTTGTCTATTTTTATTTATATGCATTTTGATTGTTTGTGCTCATTTAGCGATAACCTTAAGAAGGATGGACGTGGTGACGTCACTTCCGAAATGCATATATATATATATAGCTCCAAGATATTTATCATAATAGAATGTTGACCGTGAAGATCCGGGTTAGAATTAGTCTCGTACACGCTTGTCGTAAGAGGCGACGAACGGGATCGGGTGGTGACTCGCTGACTTGGTTGCATCCTACTTGCGGATAGATATACTATTGAGAAGAAGTGATTTAAAAAAAATATGTTGCCCCGCTGTGATGCGGACACAGACAAAACACTGATATCAGTTGATTTCGATACCGATGGCTGACAACACAGAATACATGATTCTCAAATATAGTAGAATATAGAATATACTTCGGGCCGTATTGAATTACGGGTCATCGGCCCTGAGTGAGTTATTTTAGACACGAGCTTTTCTCACAGCCCGTGATAAACCATTAAAATACATTTTGTAAAGCCCAAAGGATACGTGTTGAAAGGACAAACTGTATTCTATAAACCTCTATTTTGCCTTCATGAAAACAAGAAAACACTATACGTCCTTAGAGTAATGTTTGGTATTCTTTATAGCAGACAGTATATGCACTAAACGCACGGGCTGAAATCTATAAACCGTTATGTTGCATTTCATATACAACAAAGAAAACTTACAATACATATGTTTGAACAATATGAAAGATAAAAACAACGATAATCATCAACTGCATGGTAGTCCAAGCTTCCTTACAGCGAAGGAACCGTGTTCAATAGTTTTAAGTGGCGCAAGAGATTTCTGGGTGAGTTCTTCTTTCATTACAAGTATATAATAATACTTCACCCAAACTATCGGCTTAAGTGAAACACGTGTATGTATATCGACACTATACAAGTACACGTATATAATAATACTTCATCCAAACTATCGGCTGAAGTGAAACACGTGTATGTATATCGACACTAAACAAGTACACGTATATAATAATACTTCCTTCAAGCTATCGGCTGAAGTGAAACACGTGTATGTATATCGACACTATACAAGTACACGTATATAATAATACTTCACCCAAACTATCGGCTTAAGTTAAACACGTGTATGTATATCGACACTATACAAGTACACGTATATAATAATACTTCATCCAAACTATCGGCTTAAGTGAAACACGTGTATAAGTGAGTGAGTGAGTATGGTTTTACGCCGCTTTTAGCAATATTCCAGCAATATCACGGCGGGGGACACCAGAAATGGGCTTCACACATTGTACCCATGTCGGGAATCGAACCCGGGTCTTCGGCGTGACGAGCGAACGCTTTAACCACTAGGCTACCCGACCGACCCTTACACGTATATAATAATACTTCACCAAAACTATAGGCTAAAGTGAAACATGTGTATGTATATCGACACTATACAAGTACACGTATAAAATAATACTTCACCCAAACTATCGGCTAAAGTGAAACACGTGTATGTATATCGACACTATACAAGAACACGTATATAATAATACTTCATCCAAACTATCGGCTGAAGTGAAACACGTGTATGTATATCGACACTAAACAAGTAAACGTATATAATAATACTTCACCCAAACTATCGGCTTAAGTGAAACACGTGTGTGTATATCGACACTAAACAAGTTCACGTATATAATAATACTTCACCCAAACTATCGGCTTAAGTGAAACACGTGTATTTATATCGACACTAAACAAGTACAGGTATATAATAATACTTCACCCAAACTATCGGCTTAAGTGAAACACGTGTGTGTATATCGACACTAAACAAGTTCACGTATATAATAATACTTCACCCAAACTATCGGCTAAAGTGAAACACGTGTATGTATATCGACACTATACAAGAACACGTATATAATAATACTTCATCCAAACTATCGGCTGAAGTGAAACACGTGTATGTATATCGACACTAAACAAGTAAACGTATATAATAATACTTCACCCAAACTATCGGCTTAAGTGAAACACGTGTATTTATATCGACACTAAACAAGTACAGGTATATAATAATACTTCACCCAAACTATCGGCTTAAGTTAAACACGTGTATGTATATCGACACTAAACAAGTACACGTATATAATAATACTTCACCCAAACTATCGGCTGAAGTGAAACACGTGTATGTATATCGACACTAAACAAATACACGTATATAATAATACTTCATCCAAACTATCGGCTTAAGTGAAACACGTTTATGTATATCGACACAATACCATTGTATAAATCAACTAAGTGTTGCTACTTTGTCCAGAGATCTCCAAAGTCACATAAAGCACAGTAAAATTAAGTGCAACACAGTCAAAGTAAACTAAATCAAACATTCAAACAGTCAAATAGAGTGCAACGCAGTCAAACAAATCAAACTATATGATACATGTCATGTAAATCAACTAAGTGCTGCTACTTTGTCCAGAGATCTCCAAAGTCACACAAAACACAGTAAAATACAGTGCAACACAGTCAAAGAAAACTAAATTAAACATTCAAACAGTCAAATAAAGTGCAACGCAGTCAAAGATGTTACACTAAATCAAACATTCATACAGTCAAATAAAGTGCAACGTAGTCAAACAAATCAAACATATTCAAACAGTAAAATATAGTGCAACACAGTCAAAGAAAACTAAATCAAACATTCAAACAGTCAAATAAAGTGCAACGCAGTCAAACAAATCAAACATATCCAAACAGTCAAGTAAAGTGCAACGCAGTCAAACAAATCAAACATATTCAAACAGTAAATTAAAGTGCAACACAGTCAAAGTAAACTAAATCAAACATTCAAACAGTCAGATAGAATGCAACGCAGTCAAAGAAGTTAAACTAAATCAAACATTCAGTCAAATAAAGTGCAACGCAGTCAAACAAATCAAACATATTCAAACAGTCAAATAAAGTGCAACGCAGTCAAACAAATCAAACTTAATCAAACATATTCAAACAGTCAAATAAAGTGCTGAAACAGGTAACGGAAGTGAAACCAATTCAAACAGGATAAAGCAAAGTCCTTGTTGAAGCCCCTTAATGCCTAGCGCCAGGCAGGGTAACAACAAGTATCATCTGTCAACGTCTTTTGGAGGGAGTTTCAAACTACTGCGCGTTTAGATGTTTGTCATCGTTGCTTAATTGGCCGATAATGTAACGGTGATTATATAGAGGTGTTGAGTAGGTCCTGAAAAAATTTCATAGATTACGGCAGCGGCTGCCGACTGTCCACTTATGCACTGACTCAAGTAGTCACAGCGAGGATATTCTGTCACGTTCGCTGAAATAGGTCCCGGAAAGGATATTCTGTCACGTTCACTGGAATAGGGTCCCGGAAAGGATATTCTGCTACGTTCACTAGAATAGGTTCCGGAAAGGATATTTTGCCATGCTCACTGGAATAGGTTCCGGAAAGGATATTCTGTCACGTTCACTCAAATAGTTTCCAGAAAGGATAATCTGCACGTTGACTGAAATAGGCCCCGGAAAGGATATTCTGTCACGTTCACTGGAATAGGTCCCGGAAAAGATATTCTGTCACGTTCACTGGTATAGGGTCCCGGAAAGGATATTCTGTCACGTTCACTGGAATAGGGCCTTGAAAGGATATTCTGTCACGTTCACTGGAATAGGGCCTTGAAAGGATATTCTGACACGTTCGCTGAAATAGGTCCTGGAAAGGATATTCTGTCACGTTCACTGGAATAGGTCCCGGAAAGGATATTCTGTCACGTTCGCTGGAATAGTCCTGGAAAGGATATTCTGTCACATTCACTGGAATAGGGTCCCGGAAAGGATATTCTGTCACGTTCACTGGAATAGGGTCCCGGAAAGGATATACTGCCACGTTTACTGAAATAAGGTCACGGGAAGGATATTCTGTTACGTTCACTAGAATAGGTTCCGGAAAGGATATTCTGTCACGTTGACTGAAATAGGCCCCGGAAAGGATCCCTGTCACGTTCGCTGAAATAGGTCCCGGAAAGGATATTCTGTCTCGTTCACTCAAATAGGTCCCGGAAAGGATATTCTGTTATGTTCACTGGAATAGGTCCTGGAAAGGATATTCTGCCTAGTTGGTGACGGGAGCTATATCTATGTTTAATATTTGCAACAGAAATGGCGGTTTTGATTTCAAGTGGTGGAACAAGAGATGATGTTTTCCGGAGCCGATCTTAAAAAACGTACAATATTTTCTCACCAAACTTGGTATACGTAGATAGGTCTATTGGTGAACTGATGCTTTTTGGTTGTTTGTGTTTTTTGAAAACAATATTTTTTGGAATATAATATTAATATCGTATCATACTATTATTATACTTAGTCTATATTATTATTATTCACAGATTAAAATAAAAAATGCAGCAAAGAGGGTTTGGGTGATCATGGCACAGTCAGGCTGGTAAGGCTCATCATCAGCACAGGGCCCTTGCCCCCTCTACACGCAGCCCAGACAGCGAAGGGGACTTCTCCCAGGAAGCCCATCCAGAACTTTTCGGAGAATGTGAAGACTCCCCAACACTGCAGCCTTCTGCATTACCCAGATTGTCAGAAGGGCTGTATTCCTGGTAGCAAACCCGGGTACTCCCCAAATGTCAGTCAACAGATTGGGAGGTACCAAACCTAAGGCACCGAGAACAATCGGGAGTCGGACAACTTGGTACTTAGGATGCAAGCGTGACATTTCGAAAGGGTCCGCATATTTGCCATGTTGTCAATCACATTAGTGTCAAAGGTGACAGAAAATTCAATGATACAAATGATTTCATTGATTTATAAAAAAGGACAATATCGGGTTTGTTGGCCTGGATACGTCTGAGGCTGTAAACGGGCCTGTTCCAAATAATTTTGCATTTATCATTTTCCATGACGCCCTCTACATATATTTCTGGTCGTACCACGGGTGGACCTCTGTGTCAAAACCACAAGCATGGCGAAGACGGTAATAAAATGATCGAGCTACACCATCATGTCGTTTAAGATACTGTGTTTGACACATTGACGGTTTCGAGTGGGAAGTGACTGGTCCTGAGCAGCAAACAGAAACCCTTCGGTTTCACTTTTCAGGCCAGACGACTTCATCCAAGCAAAGGACTCTGCAGGATTGCTGATCTTCTCAACACACTGCACATAAACTCGATGCAGTGGTCGTTCAGATAGCCTCTCCTTGAAAAACTGAGTCTGGGCCGACTTGATATGGCACTTCGCTTGGTTGACACTCAATTCTGTACCGTCCAGCAGTACAGAACCATAAACAAAACCAACACCGACATTGAGATTATGTCCCACATCCTTTGCTCGTTTTAGAAAACAAACTGTAGAATGCCTTGTTTTCATCATGAGTCTTGACATGCTTCACAAGAGGATCATCAGACAAATAAATGATTGCAAAAGTGCACAAAACAATTCTATCATGAAGAGCCCCAACGTTAATCAAACCACGTCCTCCCATCATGATTGGTACATATAAGCGATTGAGGGAAAAGGAGGGTGGTGGGATCTATTGTCTGACATGATTCTTCGTGTGAGGGTGTCAACAACACCAAATGAATACGAAAGGACGGGCACAGCATACGTATTTGTGGCTTTGACTTTATTGCGTGCGTTCAGGTCTGAGCTCCAGATATTCTTTAGTCTACATTTGTACTCTGCCCGAAGTTTGCCCTTGATATGGGCATTCTGGAGTTTGTCCCTAATCTGCATCCTTAAGTACGTACAGGCCTGACCTTCCACAAGATGGTCAATAACTCCTCCTTCAAGTACACTGACTGATCCTCCCTCTTCTACCTTGCCACGTTTCAAATGAAGAATGTTGCATAATTATTATGATGATGATGATGATGATGATGATGATGATGATGATGATGATCTGTAATAGAATAGCCAGTCTGAAGCTAGTTTGGGCATCTGGTTTTGTATTATCGTATTATCTTCACGGGTCGATTTTTGCATTGGTCTATTGATTAACTACGTGTATGGTCATAGGAAACAGAACGTGTGCTCTGTAACTTCTGTGTTGCATATTTGCCGTGTACATAAACTTACTGCAGACGGTGTTGGTTGAAGAACGAATCACAGCACAGAAAGTTGTGGGATGACACGTGTGGTCAGAACAAGGTCCTCCTATACTCTGAAATAAATAAAACATTGTGCTCTGAAAATGTCAGAACATTCGAATAGTTCTCCTCGGAAATAATACGTATGTCTTCCTATTATACCAGTGATGCATTATTTGTTTGTTTGTTTGTTTGTTGTTTAACGACGCACTCAGCAATATGCCAGCTATATGACGGCGGTCTGTAAATAATCGAGCCTGGACCAGGCAATCCAGTGATTGACATCATGAGCATCGACCGATCTACGCATTTGAGATACGATGACATGTCAGCGAGCCTGACCATCCGATCCCGTTAGTCGCCTCTTACGATAAGCTTAGTCGCCTTTCACGGCAAGCATGGGTTGCTGATGACATCTTCTAACCCAGATCTTCACGGGTGCATAGCTGAATTAAGATAAGTGGATGACGTCATAGTTCCTCGAGTGCACTCGAATATATAATCAATATCTTTACATAACCAGGCCTTCATGACTCACTTATATTCAACATAAGTATTCCACTCTGACCGTTGTCTTTTCTAACCTTTGAGAAAATCTAACCATTGACGATGCACTCTTGTGTACGTTTTGAATGTGTTTGCAGGTTCAGCGTGTAAGAGACTTCAATTGAAACACGTTAAAACTGCTTTTACATATGGAAACAACCATACACACTCCAACATGTTAATGTTGCACACAACATACCGTCAGTTCCAAATCTATTTTCTGGGTCTCAATTACACAATAACACCCGCAAATCTGAACACACGTGAATGTATCTATTAATTGCCATTCATATATCAAGAAAAATCTTTCATCCAGTTTGCAACATGACAGTATTATTTGCTCTTTCATAATATGACATTAACCAGTTTCTCAATCAGAGAAAGAACAATTAATTATTCATGTCGAATAAATATATGTAAATTTAATTGTATACAGTAGACTAAGGTTAAAACGAACACGCTTATAACGAACTGACTTTTTGGTCCCGACTATTTGCTGTAGTTATGCTGTATATAGGCTTATTACGAACTACGGTTATAACGAACTAAAATTAGTAGTCCCTTTTAGTTCGTTATAACCGTAGTTTACTGTATTAGGTTTTCCTTAATGCAATCGTGTGACAACTTGCTTCGTACATACCTTAGGCCATTTGCTGATATCGCTCTGTATGTAATCTGCGCTTGGTTGTATGTTGCCGGTATCGGTTGAATCTTTGAAACTTAGATAGCAGGTCCGGCTCTTTGTGTTTAGATTGAAAGACTTACAAACACTGTGCATCACACATAATCCGGCACATTGGAAAATGTCCGATTTGGTAAAAGACGCAAAAGCAGACTTTCTCAACGTCTGTCCATCGACGATAAGTGAGCTAATATCACAAAACCCCAATGTGTGGGAAACAATGGCATACATGATTAAAAGGCGAGAAAAGTCAGTTAGGTCAAACATTATGGACGGGTGATGTGCTAGACCCCTCGGAGGTACTTAATTCTGGTGTGCTTATCTGGCGTATCTAGTGTGCTTCAGTCCTGTTGTACGATGGGCTTCTGTAATGTGCTAGGCTTCTGTAATGTGCTAGGCTTCTGTGCTGTTATATTCCTGTGGAGAGCTAGACTTCTCTGACATCATTTCCCCTACGGTGTGCTAGACTTGCCATCTTCATGTGAAGTGCAACACCCTGTGTTGAGCTGGAATCCTCTCGCGTGCTACACCCTGTGGTGCGCTAGACTTCTCTGCTACGGTTTTGTAAAGATTCCTGCAGGTAATGACGCCTTTCCTTTCATTGATTTCTTTTCTCGTCATAAGCATCTGTGAGTTGCCAGATAATGCCCATTCAATCAATCAATCAGGTTTTTCGGTAATAAGGCCTCAGGCCCACGTACGGATATATACAATTTAGTTTCACATCAAGTGCTGCATGAAATAATATTTACAGGTAAGAAGAACGAAGACAGATAGCATCTTTAACATAATTGGCTAAGTTCTCAAGACGGTTTACATCAGAAGAGTTCAACATTCTAAGCAGTGTGTCTTTACGATTATCACCAGTAATGAAGTCTAAATATGGGACATATTTTGAGGGAATATCTTCATAAATAAGGCAAACAAGAATGAAATGAATTTCATTTTCAACTGCCCTTAACTTACACAATAGACAAAAACGGAGTGTCTTATCGATGCCATCCCTCCTTCCTGTGTTATGCATAATTCCCAGTTCTCCAATACGTAAAAGGGTAAGCATACGTCGCTTTTCTTTTGATAATACATTTAATAGATTCGGTTCAAGTGATAACGATGTCTTAAATTATGAATACAGTTCTAATTTCGAGCATCCAGACACTTCAGAATACCCTTTGTGCATGACAGTCCTTAACCCTCAGTATAAACTCACTTATAAAATATTCAGGATCACCAGCACCTTGAAATTCCCACACATATCCGAAGCCATGAGAATATAACATATTCTTAATAGCGGAAATCCATGTATTCCTACCAACGGCATCAAACCAAACTAACATTTCGTAACACCGTTTTGGAAATCTCTCTTGAGACATATTAAGAAGCTTAAACCGGTATCTTAAACATCTTGTGTAAGAATCAATATAAATACCATATCGATCGACCACATTCTCCGAGCACTGCAACATTTGTAGATTTGGAACTGATACCCAAAACAGATTTACAAAACTTCGCTTGGAAACGTTCGAGAAACAACCATTTATGAACCCCCAAATCTCCAAATAATAGGTTTAATCTGAGAGTCGAACGTTTTAAACAAAACTTTGAGCGCGATATTTCGAAGTTTATAACTGAGCTGTTTTATAGGAATTAAAGCTTTGTTGCTTTCAAAACTAATGTCTGAACTGTTCTCGACCAACACAGCCTGTTTGAAAATATAATACCCAAATAACTATAATATGTAGAAACCTTGACAGGCATATGCCCCAGTTTCCATTTCTCGTAGTTCATTAACTTACCACCATTACGAAAAACTAAGATATCAGTTTTGTCCATGTTAACTTTTAGACCCCATTTGTTTCAAAATTTGTGTAAAACATCAATCTTCTTCTGTAGTTCAAGAACTGAATCTGCAAAAATACACAAGTCATCCGCATATAAGTGAAGAACCAATTCCAGTAAATCCTCATGTACAAATATCCCTCTACCACCACACTGCTGGATGTCCTCTTCCAACTGGTTTATGAATAACGAAAACAAAAGAGGACTTAAAACGCACCCTTGTCGTACACCACTGAGACTGTTGAAATAATCTGAGATGCTACTCTTTGAAATTTTAACACAAGCAAGAGTTTTAGAATAAATGTCCTGAATGATAGTAAATATTTCCCCATGAACTCCATTTGAATGCAGAACAAACCAAAGAAGGTCCCTATTAATATAGTCGAAAGCTTTCTGAAAGTCTATGAACCTACAGTAAAATCTTCCTTTTGACTTAGACAAATATTTCTGCACTAATGATTGAAGAATAAACATGTTATCCACTGTGGAATATCCTTTTCGGAAGCCAGCCTGACATTCCGGGAGCTTATCATATAACTTAACAAAATGCTTTAATCTATTATTCATAACCTGGGTAAAAACCTTACCACAAATATCCACCAAGGAAAGGCCTCCTTAATTGTTAACAACATGAACATTACCATTCTTATGGAGAGGGAAGATAATACTTTTAGACCATTGATCTGGAAAACTACCTCTGCATAGAATGTTGTTAAAAAGAACTAGAAGATGCGGAATTAAAACATCACTGCCATACTTTATCATCTCTGGTAAAACACATCAGGACCAGCTGCTGTACCACATTTGAGGGAAACTATGGCTTCTGAAACCTCTTTAGCCGTTATATCTTGATTTAGCAAACTGTCAACACCCTCATCGTTACACACATGACAATTCATGCTATTAACTGGATGCTCTGTAATAACGGCTTTGCAGAACGCAACAAAATCCACATCAGTTACATTATCAGTAATAATCAAAACAGTTATAAAGTAATCAATCCACTGAGAAACACCAATACTGGGTGCTGTTACGGGTGGCTTCCGTAGGTGAAATTTCAGTTCGGATCAAAATGTTTTTGAATTTCTCTTATCATTACAGGAGTTAAGAATATTTACAATAGCAGATTCATCAAATACATCCTTTTTTCGCCGCATATTTCTCTGAATTTATTGCGGACTTCATGAAAGCTCTTTAAAGTATCTATATCTCCACTAATTCTAAACATGTCTAACAGTTTGTATTTGTAGCGTTTTATATTTTCACATTCTGCATCAAACCACGGCGAAGAAGTACACCTGCTTACGTTAGTGTTACGACTGTTGCTTACAGCCATACCACTGTCCTCAGTACACTCTTGAATTATAGATTCAGCTTTTTGAGAAGAGCTAGTGCACTGATCATGAGATATATCTCCAACTAGCATCTCAAGTAATCTGTCTTTCAAAGATACATAAAAAAGTTCAACGTTCTGAGAGCGCCATATATATTTCGGTATTGAAACACTTTTTTCTATTTGATCTGCAGGTTTTATCACATTAGGTCTACACTTAAGACTACAAGTAACTGGGAAATGGTCTGATTCAGTACGTGTCTGAACAGTAAAGTCTGATAATGAATAAAATAAATCAGTTGAAGCAACAAAATAGTCGACAACGCTGGCCCCAGTGTTTGCAAAACACGTGAATGATCCCTGTGCATCGCTGGTAAAATGCCCATGTAGAAAGTGAATACCGTATGTGCAACAGAAAGCGATAAGCTGTTTTCCAAAGTCATTAACGTAAGCGTCTCTCGATTTCCTTAGAATTGAGAAGACGTCACTTTCATAGTTCATGTCACGTAAACATGGAATGTAATCAATATCGTCATCACATAATATATAGTCAGGCAGTAAACCAACTCGTGCGTGAAAGTCTCCTGCCATCATAACATGAACGTCTGGGTAATCTCTTAGCATTTCTAGTAAACAGTACTCTAAATAATCAATACCTCTAAGTCCTCGGGTATCTGTCACCAAAGAGCCATTATCAGGGTGAATGTAAACAAAAGAATATCCTTCTGAACATCAATGAAACTCGAATCTAACACAAGAAATATACAGTCATTAAATGAAGTGTTCACGTGTTTTATCACATTAGTTAATGTTTTCCTCACTAAGACAGCCACGCCGCCTCTATTTTAGTGCCCATTCTTCTGTATCAACAATAAAATATATCTCCAGGGAGAGTATACATTTACAAATTGAGCGATGAAATGTTAATGTTAAGTCCTGCTTGACTGTATTGATTTTTCCTTTACAAGGGATAAACATTGCAGCATAAAAACCGTGAAGTACGTTTTTAGCAAGTCCTCCTTCACAATTTTGAAAGGGGTGCCATTCAAAAATAGTTCAGGGTCCTCATGTGGCTTATATTTTCTGCAGAAATGTATACAGTTAGTTTTTTATTTAGAAAATTCAAACCCATTTTCAAGGGACCACTTGTGAGTTTTATTTAGACTTAATTGTAATTGCCTTTCTGTTGTGTGCATATTTTTACCACGACAAGATATATTAAAATCATCCAAAAAAAGTGATCCATCAACTGAATCAGTTAAAAACGTTTGACAAACTGTAAATCTTAATACTAAATAATGTGTCAGACAAAATACTGCCTTGTGGGACACCCTGATCCTGATTAAGAAGATCAGACAGGGTAGAGCCCACGCGGACCTGAAGTTACCTGTCTGTTCAAAACTGAGATATGAAATGAGGCAAGCGGTCTCTCAATCCAAAATCATGAAGCTCTTTTAAAATACAATGTTTCCATGTTGTATCAGTGGAATTTCTATGACCGATTCTAAACGCACTTTTTTTCAGAAATCACATTACATATTCATAATGTGATAATTTGTTTCCATACGGTGGCCCATACCCGCCACTGGTGAGATCATTTTTCACTGTATGCCTATATATTATATCTGGCGACCGCCAGATACTTCCACTGGTGAGATGAAATATAGAGGTTTACAGGGGTAAATGATCTCACCAGTGGAAGTATCTGGCGGCTGCCAGAAAAGTAATTTGTCTTTGCATAATGATTGAAATGAAAGTCAATCAGCCTTCACAAAACTCCATCGAGATGAAGGTGGAACACCAGTGGGATTAATGGGTTTAGGCACGGAAGGGAAAGGATCACTTCAACATAGGTCATCATGGACTGACCGTGTGAATTCATTTAACAAATCTGAATCCATCACAGACATGTTATGATGAATAAGGGTGTAAGTGAGTGTGAGTATATGCTGTAAGTGAGTGTCAGAGTCATCATTAAAGATGCATAGGTCATAACCGGAAACAAAATCCTCGATCACTTTTCCCTTTTGATTAATGATTGCACTTCCCCATAAAGGATTATGCCCATTTAGATCACCCATGATGATACATGGCTTTGGAAGTTGGGCGTATAGTTTTGAAGAACAATCCGCTGTAGACCTGAAGAAGGGGGAAGGTATAAGAAGCAAAGTGTGAAGGCAATATGCAATGTAAGACGAACTGCCACAGCTTACAGTTTTGTGTTAAGGGGAACAGGACTGTGAACAACGCTCCGCCGCACCAAAACAGACGTGCCTCAAGTAGCTTTATCCCCCGGAGTAGAGAAGGAATGATATGAACTATACTGCCTTCAATCAAATTTATCTGTATATTTGAGGTACGTTTCTTGTAAACAAATTGGCCACCCGATC